TCTTTTGTGGTTCCACACAAATTTTAGAATTGTGTATTCTAGTTCTGTGAAAAATGCTGTTGGCATTTTGATAGGAATTGTATTAAATGTGTAGATTGCAAAAAAAATGTGTAGATTGCTTCGGGTAATATGTACAAAATTGGGAAAACAATGCATGAACAAAACAAGAAGATCAAAAAAGCAATAGACACTGTTAAAAAAAAAAGGACAAATCCTACAGCTGAAAAATACAGTAAGTGAACTGAAGAATTCAATAGAATTTCAAAAGAAGACTTGACCATTCAGAAGAAAGAATCAGTAGACAGGAAAATGGGACATTAGAAATTATCCAGTCAAAGGAACAAAAAGGAAAAACAGAAAGTAAAGAAAGCTACAAGATTTATGGGACACAATAAAATGAAGCAATATTCACATTATGAGAATTCCAAAAGGAGAGGAAAAAGAGAAAGAGTCACAAAGCATCTTTTAAGCACTAATGGCTGAAAATTTCCCTCACCTGGAAAGAGAAACTGACATCCAGATACCTGAGGCCCAAAGGATTCCAGATAGGTTAAACCTAAATAGGGCTACATCAGGATATAATTTAAATTAAATTGTCAAAAATCTAAGATAAAGAAAGGAGTTTTAAAGCAGCAAAAGAAAGAAGTTATACCAAGGGAGCCCCTGTAAGAGTATGGGCAAATTTCTCATTAGAAACATTTTGGGGAACATCTGGGTGGCTCAGCACTTGGGTGCCTGCCTTCGGTTCAGGTCTGATCCCAGGATGTGGGATCAAGTCCCACATCAGGCTCCCTGCAAGGAGCCTGCTTCTCCCTCTGCCTATGTCTCTGCCTCTCTCTCTCAGTCTGTGTCTCTCATGAATATAGATATAAATCTTAAAAAAAAAGAAAGAAAGAAACATTTTGGGCCAGGAGATAATGATATGACCTAATCAAATACTGGTTGGGAGAGAAACCTAAACTGCCAATCAGGAGAGGCATCTGGCTGGCTCATTTGGTGGAGTATGCGATGCTTGATCTCAGGGTTTTGGGTTCCAGCCCCATGTTGGGTGTAGGGATTTAAAAATAAATCTTTAAAATAAATAAATAAGTAAACTGCCAACCAAGAATACTGTACCCAGCAAAGCTGTCCTTCAAAAATGAAAAAGGGATAAAGACTTTCCTAGGGGCACCTGGCTGGCTCAGTCAATAGACTGTGTGACTCTTGATCTCAGGGTTGTGAGTTCAAGCCCCCACATTGGATATGGAGGCTACTTTAAAAAAAATAAAAAAAAAATATATATATACAAAAAAGACTTTCCCAAACAAACAAAACCTGAGGGAGTTCATTACTACTAGACCTGCCTTACAAGAAATGCTTAAGGGAGTTCTTTGAGTGGAAATAAAAGGACACTATCATCATTAAAAGGTAGTAAAACTCATTAGTAATGGTAAATTTATTGTCAAAGTTAGATTTTGTAACTTGGTAATGGTGCTGCATAATCCACTCATATTTATTCATATAATTTTATTTTAAAAGTTAAAAAACATAAACATAGTAAAAACAACAATAACTACAATAATCTGTTGTTAGTTATGCAATATTTAAAAAATGTGTAAATTCTAACAGCAATAACTTAAAACATGAGAGAGAGGAGAAGTACAAGTATAAAGTTTAGGATTTTTACAGAAATCAAGTTACTTCAAAATTAAAGTCCACTTAAAATATGGGGTTATAGTTTTAAAATATTTTTATGTAAGCCTTGTGGTAACTACAAGGGGAAAACTTATAGCAGTTATACAAAAAACATGATAAAGAAGTCAAAGCACGCTGACACCAAAAGACATCAAAATACACAAAGAAAGATAACAAAATAAGAAACAAGGAACAGTGGATCTGCAAAACAACCAGAAAATAATTAACAAAATGGAAAAAGTAAAAAAAACAAAAAACAAAAAACTGGAAAAAGTAAGTCTTTATCTGTTGGTAATTACTTTAAACATAAAATGATTAAATTCTCTAACCAAAGGACATAGAATGCCTGAGTGGATTAAAAAAACAAGATCCAATGGCATGCTGCCCATGAGAGAGACACACTTTAATCTTAAAACACACATAGACTGAGAGTAAAGAGAGGTAAAAGGTCATTTCAAGGAAATGTAACAACAACAACAAAAAAAAACAGGGATAACTATACTTACATCAGACAAAATAGACTTTAGAAATGGTAAAAAGGGGATCCCTGGGTGGCGCAGCGGTTTGGCGCCTGCCTTTGGCCCAGGGCGCGATCCTGGAGACCCGGGATCGAATCCCACGTCGGGCTCCCGGTGCATGGAGCCTGCTTCTCCCTCTGCCTGTGTCTCTGCCTCTCTCTCTCTATCTGTGTGTGACTATCATAAATAAACAAAAATTAAAAAAAAAGAAATGGTAAAAAGAGGGATGCCTGGGTGGCTCAGTGGTTGAGCATCTGCCTTTTGGGATGTGATCCTGGAGTCCTGGGATCAAGTCCTACATCAGGCTCCCCATAGGGAGCCTGCTTCTCCCTCTGCCTATGTCTCTGTCTCTACGTCTCTCGTGAATAAATAAATAAAATCTGTTAGTGGGAATGTGAACTGATGCAGCCACTCTGGAAAACTGTGTGGAGGTTCCTCAAAGAGTTAAAAATAGATCTGCCCTATGACCCAGCAATTGCACTGCTGGGGATTTACCCCAAAGATACAGATGCAGTGAAATGCTGGGACTCCTGCACCCAGATGTTTATAGCAGCAATGTCCACAATAGCCAAACTTTGGAAGGAGCCTCAGAGTCCACCGAAAGATGAATGGATAAAGAAGATGTTGTCTATGTATACAATGGAATATTACTCAGCCATTAAAAACGACAAATACCCACCATTTTCTTCGATGTGGAGGAACTGGAGGGTACTATGCTGAGTGAAATAAGTCAATCGGAGAAGGACAAACATATGGTCTCATTCATTTGGGGAATATAAAAAATAGTGAAAGGGAATAAAGGGGAAAGGAGGAAAAGTGAGTGGGAAATATCAGAAAGGGAGACAGAACATGAGAGACTCCTAACGCTGGGAAACGAACAAGGGATGGTGGAAAGAGAGGTGGGCGGTGGGTGGGGGTGACTGGGTGATGGGCACTGAGGGGGGCACTTGATGGGATGAGCAATGGGTGTTATGCTGTCTGTTGGCAAATTGAACTCCAATAAAAAAATATTATAAATAAATAAATAAATAAATAAAAGAAATGGTAAAAAGAGACAAAGGTCATTACATAATAATAAAGTTCTCAACCCATCAAGAAGATATAACAGTTGTAAATATTTATGCACCCAACATCAGAGCACTGAGATATATAAAACAAAAACTAACAGACATAAGAGAAGAAATAAACAGTAATACAAGAATAGTTGGGAACTTTAATACCCCACTCTCAACAACGGATAGATAATCCAGATAGAGATTCAATAGGGAAACAGCAGGTTTGAACGCTATAAACCAAATGGACCTAACAGACATATACAGAACATTCTATCCAACAGCAGGAGAATACATATTCTTCTCATGTGCCCATAAAATATGTTCTAAGATAGACCATTTGTTGGGCCACAAGTCTCAGTAAATTAAAAAAGACTGAAATCATATCTAACTACACCAGCATAAAACTAGAAATCAATAACAAGAGGAAAACTGGAAAAATCACAAACACAAAGAAATTAAGCAATAGTCTCCTGAACAACCAATGGATCCAAGGAGAAATGAACAGGAAAATTAAAAAGTTTCTTGAGAAAATGAAAACAAAAACACACATACATAACTTGTGGGGTGCAGTGAAAGCAGTTCTGAGGGAAGTTGATACAAATAAACACCAACATTAAGAAGCAAGAAAGAGCCTGGGGTGCCTGGCTGGCTCAGTCAGAAGAGTAGGCATTCCTGATCTTGAGGTCATGAGTTTGAGCCCCACGTTGGATGTAGAGATTACTTAAATAAATAAAACTTAAAAAGAAAGAAAGAAAGAGAAGGAAAAAGAAAGAAAGAAAGAAAGAAAGAAAGAAAGAAAGAAAGAAAGAAAGCCAAATAAACAACCTAACCCTGTACATTAGGAAACTAGAAAAAGAAGTTCCTTTTGACCCAAAGTTAGCAGAAGACAGGAAATAATAAAGATTGGAGCGGAAATAAATAGAGAACAGAAATACAATAAAAAAGATTAACCGAACTAAGGGTTGGTTCTCTGGAAAGATAAAGTTGACAAACTAACCAATTAGCTGGACTAAGGAAAAAAGGGAGAAGACCCAAATCAAAATTACAAATGAAGAAGGACACATTACACTTGATACCACAGAAATACAAAGGATCATAGAGGCTACTGTGAACAGTTGTATACCAACAAACTAAACAGCCCAGAAGAAATGGAAAAATTCTTAGAAACGTATGACTGACCAAGACTGACTCAGAAAGAAATAGAAAGTCTGAATAGATCAATTATTAATAAGAAGATTGGATCAGTAATAAGAAATCTGCCAACAAAGAAAAGCCCAGATGGTTTCCCTGGTGAATTTTACCAAACACTTGAAAAATTTACTCCAGTCCTTCTCAAACTCTTCCAAAAAACTGAAGAGGAGGAAACATTACCCGATTCATTTTATAAGGCCAGGATCATACTGAAACTAAAACCAGAGAATGACATTATTAGAGAACTAGAGTCAATCCTCACGAATAAGGATGCAAACACTCTCAATAAAATACTAGCAAACTAAATTCAGCAGTATATTAAAGAGATGATTCACCATGATCAAGTGAAATTTATCCCTGGGATGCAAGGATGGTTCAATGTATGCAAATCAATCAGTGTGATATACCACATTAATGGAATAAAAGAAAACAATCAGATGATCATCTCAAGAGTGCAGAAAAAGCACTTGACAAAATTCATTTATGATAAGACTTCCAAACAAATTAGGCATAAAAGGAACATATCTCAACAACAAAAAAGGGCCATATATGACACACTTACAGCTAACATCATTTCAGTGGAGAAAGGTTGAAAGCTTTTCCTCTAAGATCAGGAACAAGACAGGGAAGCCCACTCTCATCACTCCTATTCCACTCAGTACTGAAGTCCTTCCTAGATCGGACAATAAAAAGAAATAAAATGTATCAGAACTGGAAAGGAAGCAGTACAATTGTCTCTATTTGCAGATGACATAATTTTATATACAGGAGATCCTAAAGACTCAACCAAAAAATTCTTAGATCTCATTAAATTCGGTAAAGTTGCAGGCTACAACATGTATCTACAAAAGTCAGTAGCATTTTGTACACTAACAATGAATTTTCTAAAAAAGAAATTTAAAAATTGATCTCTTTTATAGTAGCATCGAAAATAATAAAATACTTAGGCATAAATTTAACCAAGGAGGTGAAAGATCTCCACTATAAAAAACATGAGAAATTGATGAAAGAAATCAAAGAAGACACAAATAAGTAGAAAGGTATTTTGTGTTCATGAATTGGAAGAATTAATATTGTTAAAATGTCAATACTACCTAGGTGCCTGGGTGGCTCAGGTGGTTAAGCATTTGACTCTTGACCTCACCTCAGGTCTTGATCTTGGGGCCATGGGTTCAAGCCCCATGTTGGGATCCATGCCCAGCATCAAGCCTACTTTAAAAAATAAAGCCTTGATATTACCAAAAGTCATTCATAGAATGCAGTCCTATCAAGATCCCAGTGGCATTTTTGCAGAAGCAGGAAAAAAACAATCCTAAAATTTATATGGAACTGCAGAAGACCCTAAGTAGCCAAAGAAATCCTGAGAAAGAAGAACAAGGCAGGAGGCATCACACTCCCTGGTTTCAAGCTATACTGTAGAACTGTAGTAATCAAAACTGTATAATACTAGCATATAAACAGACAAATAGACCAACGGAACAGAATTAAAAGCCCAGAAAAAAAAAACCCAAGCATATATGGTCAACTAATATTTGTCAAGGGAGCCAAGAGTACTCAATGGAGAAAAGATGGTCTTCAATAAATGGTGCTGGGATAACTGGATCTTCACATGTAAAAAATGAAACTGGGCCCCTATCTTATACCATTCACAAAAATTACCTCAAAATGGATTAAAGACTTAAATATAAAACATGAAACCATTGAACTCCTAGAAGAAACATAGGAATAATGCTCCTTCACATGGGCCTTGGTAATTATTTATTAGATATGAACCTAAAGCACAAGCAACAAAATAAAAATAAGTGGGCCCACATCAAACTTTTGTACAAAAAAGAAACCATCAACGAAGTGAAAGACAACCAATGGAATGGGAAAAAAGTATTTGCAAAGCATATATCTGATAAGGGGCTAATATCCAAAATATATAAAGAACTCATACAACTCAATAACTAATAATAATAATAATAATAATAACAACAACAACCCTACTTTTAAAAATGGGCAAAGGACGTTTTTTCAAAGAAGACATATGAAAGGCCAAGAGGCCCATGAAAAGGTGCTCAACATCACTCATCATCAAGGAAATGCAAATCAAAACCACAGTGAGCTGAAATTTCAAGGGCCTGATAATGGTCAGGGTCCTAAATATGTAAAAATTTTTATCAATCTACCCCCATCTATGGATTTTGAAGAAGCAGAAAGAAGTGAACCAACTCAAGCTCTGGAACTAACAGAGGATGATATTAAAGAAGATGGCATTGTCCCACTTCATTATGTTAAGTTTCAGAATGTTAACAGTGTAACTATATTTGTTCAGTCCAATCAAGGTGAAGAAGAAACAACAAGAATTTCATATTTTACTTTTATTGGTACTCCAGTCCAGTCAACCAATATGAATGACTTCAAATGAGTAGTTGGCAAAAAAGGAGAAAGCCACTAAGGTACAAAAGACACTGGAAGACCTTAATGCAGTCAGATCTACAGCTCCTGGATAATTGCTTGATTCTCATCAGAGACTGTCAATATTCCATTCATTGCCATTACCAATAAATCATTGCTTTTGTTTGGATGGTAAAAAAAAAAAAAAAAAACCTGGTTAGAATGCCTGTCATCAAAAAGACAAGAGGTAGGGGCACTTGGGTGGCTCAGTCAGTTAAGCCTCCAACTCTTGATTTCAGCTTGGGTCATGATCTCAGGGTTATGAGATTGAGCCCCATGTCTGGCTCTGTGCTCAGCACAGTCTGCTTAAGATTCTCTCTCTCCCTCTCACTCTACACCCCACGCTAGTTCTCATATAGAACATGTTCTCCTCTCTCTCTCTCTCTCTCTCTCTCTCTCTCTCTCTCTCTCTCTCACACACACACACACACACACACACACAAACAAACAAAAAAGAGGTAAAAAATGCTGGTGAGGATGAAGGGAAAAGGGACCCTTATACACTGTTGGTGGGATTATGAACTGGTAGAGTCACTATGGAAAACAGTATGGAGGATTCATAATAGAACTTCCATTCAAATTCAAGATTCAGGGGTTGCCTGGGTGGCTCAGTGGTTGAGCGTCTGCCTTCAGCTCAGGGTGTGATCCTGGAGTCCCGGGATCGAGTTTCATATTGGGCTCCCTGCTGCATGGATCCTGCTTCTCCCTCTGCCTGTGTCTCGGCCTCTCTCTCTGTGTGTCTCTCATGAATAAATAAATAAAATCTATAAAAAAATTCAAAATTCAAAATAGAACTACCATGAATTACTGTGATTCAACAATTCCATTTCCATAACTATATCTAAAGGAACCAAAAACACAAAGTCAAAAAGATATCTACACCCCTATACTCATAGCAGCATTATTTACAATAGTCAAGGCATGGAAACAATCCAAATGTCAATCAATGGATGAATGGATGAAGAAGTTGTATACATACACATTCAAACACAATAGGTGTGTATATGTGTGTGTATATATATATGTGTGTGTGTGAGTATAAAATATATATACAGTGTATTATACACATATATTGTAATATATAATGTAATATGTGTACAACATTGTATATATATAATCGGATATAAGTAGACATACACAATGGAATGTTATTCAGCCATAAAAAAAGGAGGAAATCTGTTTGCAACAACATGGATTGATCTTGAAGACATTATATTAAAATATCTTGCTTTTTAGCATAGTAAAACACTGGACATAGGCGTTTAAAAAGAATGAATTTCTAAAAAAATGAATTTCTAGTTATAAATACAAGGGATGTAATATACAATGTGGAGACTATAGCTAACACTGTTGTAGGACATATAGGAAAGTTATTAAGAGAGTAAATCCTGAGAGTTCTCATCAAAAGGAGAAAATTTTTTTCTTTTTTTCCTTTCTTTTTATTGTATCTACATAAGATGATGGATGTTAACTGAACTTACTGCAGTAATCATTTCATAATATATGTAAAGAAGCCATCATGCTGTATGCCTTAAACTTATACAGTGATAGATGCCAGTTATTTCCCAATAAAACCAGAAAAATGGATTTTAAAAATGGTAAAAAAAAAAAAGATAAAATGACACCACAACACAACTAACATTTTTTTTATAATTGCTCAAATATTGTTTCCTCTTTGAGAGCCAAGAGATGGTTATTTTCATAAATTCGTTTTGTAAAATGAATTTTCCTAAAGCAAAATTTAAATTGAAATATCCTATTTTGTTTTTTGGGGTTTTTAAAAAGATTTTATTTATTTATTCATGAGAGACAGACAGAGAGAGAGAGGCACAGACACAGGCAGAGGGATAAGCAGGCTCCAAGCAGAGAGCCCAACGCGGGTCTCCAGGACACCCTGGGCTGAAGGCGGCACTAAACCGTTGAGGCACCCAGGCTGCCCAAAATCTATTTTGAACATACAACCCATGACTAACTTTTACCAATATTTAGTTGCCATCCCCCACCTCCAATAAAAAAAATAAAGTAAAAAAGAGCCCAGCTTTTTGCTGCCACCTACAGTTAGAAAATGTAATAGCTTTCTAAGTGCACAGGAATGACTTGCATGAAGAACTGGAGCTTTGGATAGGTTGACCACATGCCCTGATTTACGGAAAGTTCCTGTCATCATGGTATCATTCGTCCAACATAGCATTTGTCCTGTCCCCTATTTTTCCTCAAAACTCTGATTTGGATAATTAATTATACAGTTATTACTGGTTCTTTCCATGCATCATTTACAATACCCAAATTACTCTCATCTCTCCTACCTGAATGCACACACTCACTCCTTCTGTCTGACTTCCTTCCAGCTCCAATCTTTCTCTTTCCTATCTTTACAATCATGCTTCTTGAAAAAGTGATCCATACACCATTTGCATTTCACTGTGCCACATTATTTCCTCACCTCACAGTACCCTTCCTTCCACAGTACCCACAGTACCCTACCCTTCTTTTCCTCACCTCACAGTAGCCCTAACTACCCCTTCAAACTACTAGTTAGCTTCCAACCACCAAATGAATAAATGCTTTTCTTTGTCTGGGTCAATTTGGGCTACTGTAACAAGTACCAGAGACTGGGTGGCTATAAACAATAGAAATGTATTTCTCACAGTCTGAGATCAGGGTGCCAGCGCAGTTGGGTTCTAGTGAGTCCTCTCCCAGGGTGTAGACAGCCAACTTCTTGTTGCCGAAGACAGTAAAAGAGAGTGACTAGCTCCCTGGCCTCTTCTTATGAGGACACTAATCCTACCATGAGGGCTCCACTCTCAGGACCTAATTCCCACTCAAAGGCCCTACCTGAAAATCTATCACATGTGGGATTAGATGAATTTAAGGGGAAGACATTCATTCCACAAGATTTTACCTGGCTTCATATCTTGACAACCCTGAACACAGTTGCTTGTTCTCCCTCCCCATCTCACTTCTTGTCTTCTGTGACACAATCTCTTTTTCTCTTGTGTTTCAGCTTCTTCTCAATGTCCTTTGTAATTTCCTTTTCTTCTGCTCAAATACTAATGTCTCTGTTTGTCTTTGTTCTGCACACTCTCCCTGGGTAGGCACACCCCGTGAATTCTACTACAATCACCTTGATAAGATTCCCAAAATCATTCATTCATTCATTCATTCATTCATTCAATCAATCAAATAGTGTATGGATCATGGGGAGCCTGGGTGGTTCAGTTGGTTAAGCATCCA